GTGTGTGTGTGTGTGTGTGTGTGTGTGTGTGTGTGTGTGTGTGTGTGTGTGTGTATCTATATATATTTAGCGGTAGCGCCCAGCTTTACGGACCTGTCGAGCAAATGAAATGAAATTCATGCAAATCGCGGAACCGCGCCACGCCGCCAGCTTCCCTTTGCGCTGTCGAGGCGGCATCGCATCGGTTTTGTATCGGGGCGGCGATGCGTCCAACCTACATCACGAGGGTGAAGCGTACTTCCTCCTCGGTATCCCCCGGCTCGCTGCTCGTTTGGACAAAATTCACAAATCGCTTTAGCTGTCTTTCAAGAAGCTTTAGTTAAGTCGAACAATTGCGTCGTTGAAAAGCAGGAGCTACACGAATAAGAAAAATAACACAAGAAAATAGAAAGTGATGATCAAAATTTATTCTTTTTGCGCGAACTAAGTTAAAATTATTTTATTTACAAAAAAGTTGTACAAATACTTAGATTTACATCAACAAAATTTTTATTTTTTATTTTTAATTAATGATGTTAAAAACATTACATTGTTTATATACTTATTCATTTTTGGAAATGCGTTTTGTAAACAACGTAAAAAATTTTGAATTATAAATGATATAATGGTAAATATCACTTGCATTTTAAAAATAAAATATGTAGTTTCAACGTGATTTGGAAATTGCCCATAAAAATAAAATATTTAATAGATGATGTGCGTATGTGTGTTTTAATCGGGTCTAAAAGATAACTCGTTTATAATCATGATGTTACTTCTGTTTTTAGGTTACGCTAGGAACGGACCCAATTATTATGGTAAATTAATCGGACCCCTACAAGAATACGCGCACGGCATCAAAGGTAAAGTGTACGCGGTTGACGATGCAACGATATTCATAAAAGGATTTTGCTATGACGGCACCGGCCCAGATGCTTACTTCTGGGTTGGCAACACCAGCCAACCCAATCCCGACGGTTACATTATACCTTATCCCGAGACTGATAAGGGCAGGTAAAACTGATATATTTTATTTTTATATTTATAATACCTATTATATTATTACGAGGAAAACGTATATTTCTCTTTTGATCATATAAAGATTTATAGTTTGTAGATAGAATAAAGTTATCTGTAGATTAGAGGAAGATAGCGCATAAATGATCTAAATTAATTTAGCCATTTAATCTTGACATTATTTTTATATTTATAATTATATTATACATATAATAAAATATGTAAATAAAATTTCTCTAAAGAATTAATCAATCATAAAGATTTATAATACAAGTAGAATAAGTCAGTTTGTAGATTAAAAGTAAATATTATATAATTAATATTAATTAATTGGATCGTTTGATAAGCGATAAAATTGCTTGTGTGATATAACAATAAGATAATTTTATGTGAGACTGATAATTCGACCGTGTCTCAAAGGCGGTGAAGCTGTGGCTATATAACGTTGTATACATATACCAAAACGATACACGTTGCACGCGATTTTTCGAACGTGTACTAAAGCGAGTAGGAAGCAGCCGAGTAGAAACGTAATAAAGTGCTCGCGCAGATGAAATCCGAACGAGATTGGCGTATAATTCCCGTTTTATTAACTGCACTCTCCCGCGCACTCGTTCGGCCTTTCTTCTGTTTTTCACCCCCCCCCCCGTTTTCGCTCCCATGCCCCCGCTGTCCCGTCTTGCCATCCCTTTCGCCGCGCGCATATATACGCGCTCTTTGAATTTCATTTCATCCCTTGGTTACGGACTGCCGCGCGGCGCGTTCGTCCCATCCGCATCACTCTCACCACCTTCTACCCGCGCCCTTCTTTTCGACCTTCTACATCCCTGACCGCATGCACAATCCGCCCCTTTCCACCCTCCATTCATTCCATCCTCGTGTCCCGTTCGCTTGATCGTTCGCACGACACGTAGATTCGCCATGAGGCGTTTAGAATTAATCTATCATTATAACAAATGAGACAAAAATACGCTGTGAAAATGTGAGAAATACAATATTCAAATTCGTCTAATTTATAGTGCGACATAAATAGAGCGGTATGTAAATGTCAGAAGCGATTAAACTTCAAAAGTAGAAACGCAGCTGCTTTTCATTGCTGCCCGAGTAATTCCGGTTCACAAACTTTTGCGTGGTTTTCGAAATAAATTGCTTCAAATTACGTCTTACGTTTTTTTTGTATTACCTTCATCTCTCTCTTTTTTTTCTCTAACAGCGACCCACGAGTATTGGAGGCGTACAACTACACAGACATTATCCTCAGGCTACCCGGAGGAAAGCGCATACGAGACATTAAATGGCTGAGCGTTTGGTGCAGAAGATTTACAGTGAGTAAATTGCAGCGATCAATTCCTTAATACTTTGCTTGTACTAATAGCATATATTGTTTTACTGATACCAGATTTAAACTCTTCCCATTTTCATAATTTTAATTAATAAAAAAATCGTCTACGCTTTTTGTATCGAAATATTACAGATAATCGAACATCTGTCCGAGCGCTTTGAATCAAGCGCTGCGGTAGCGGCGCGACGCCAAGTATATATAAAATAATATATATAAAATAAAAGTCGGGTGATGACTTGTGAGTATACGGCACTGGCACTGCGCTACCGCTTAGCTTTATCTCGAAGTTTTGCCTCGTCAGATTTCCGATTTTTAATATCTCGGAAACGAAAGTTCTAATGAAAAATCTAATGACACTTTCGCTATATAATGTCGACTACGAG